CAGCACTCTCTATGTGGGGCTGCCTTCGAAGATAATTCCGAAGCTACATAGTGCAGAGATTGACGACCAGATTGTCAACTGGAGCGCCATACTGTGAGAAGATGACTCTCATGTTGCAATAGCTCCACTGGCTGCCGATCTGCTTCCAGAATAAATACAAAGTGCTAGTCGTTACCTATAAAAACCCTAAACAGTTCAGGCCCAGACTACTTACAGAACTGCATCTCCATATTCCAGTGGTTCCCAATCTTTTTTTGACCTGGAACCACTCTCCAACGTTAGTACCAAAAGGGTTACAAAGTTTATGGTGACCTTTACATTTGGTTTGGTTATTTGGGGTGCTGATTCAGAAAACTGCATTGGATAGACTACATGTTCTGATCCAGAACATATGCCATCCAGTAGTCGTCATCTGCTTGCCCACAGAAAACCATATTTAATAACCTAAAACTGATGTGGTCTATCCAAGGGGTCGGGGCTGGTCAACAACAAGAAAGGAGTGGCAGGTGGCGCGAAAGGAGCTGAAATAAATAAGGAGGAAGGAGGCTCACAGACCAGATTTTTGTCCTCCCAGCCCATTGATGGTCCAAGGCCCATAGGTTAAGAACCACTGCCGTATACAAACAGGCCTGAGCTTTCCGATCTGTGGAGGAGGCTCTGCTCTCATCCCACTCCTGTCTCAAGCATGGCTGGTGGAAATGAGTGACAGGGCCTTCTCCATGATAGCCTCCTGCCTTTTGGGAGTATTCTCTCCCAAAACTGCTCCCTCTCTCTTTGTTTTTTAAAAACCTCCTGAAAACCCATCTATGCACTGTCAGATTTATATTAATTGTTACTTTATAGGTTATTTCAGTCTTACTGCCTGTTATTTTGTTTATTATTAAGTTTAGAGTTAGGTTGCTTTTATATTGTTTAATATGATTTGTCCTGATGTAGTTTGTCTGAATGTTTTGGCATTGAATGTTTGCCGTACATGTTGGAAACCGCCCTGAATCCCTTTGGGGAACTAAGGTGATCTATAAATTAAAGTTTTGTTATTTGTTACTATATATTTCTATAGAGCCCTCGGTGGCACAGCAGGTTAAACCGCTGAGCTGCTGAACTTGCTGACCAAAAGGTTGGTGGATCGAATCTGGGGAGCGGGGTGAACTTCTGCTGTTAGCCCTAGCTTCTGCCAACCTAGCAGTTTGAAAACATGCAAATGTGAGTTGATCAATAGGTACCACTCCGGCGGGAAGGTAACAGCGCTCAATGCAGTCGTGCCGGCCACATGACTTTAGGGGTGTCTACGGACAACACTGGCTCTTTGGCCTAGAAATGGAGATGAGCACCACCCTCCAGAGTCGGACATAACTAGACTTAATGTCAAGGGGAAACCTTTACCTTTACCTTTTCATTTCTATAGAGAACACACATTTAAAAAACTCTCTAGGTCCTCAAGTGCAGTTCTGTGGGCTTCTTTAATAGAAATTGACCATAGAAAGATTCAGAAATTCCTAAAGAGTTGCTTAGCCTTAGAAGAAGAAAAAGCAATTTATTTATTTGTGATTTTTCACTAACACGTGGGCCCTGTGCTTTGTTGGGACATGGGTTGACCGTATGTACAGTACATAAATCCCACTCACTGGGTGGGTTTACTACAGTTGGGCTTAGTATTGGATTTTAGCTGCAGCATTGAGGTTGTGGCTTGATAGCTGTAGGCAATAATGGAGTCTGTGCAGGCAAATGGTCCGCGAAAGGACGCTCTTCACGCTGCAGCGTTCATCGAAAGGGAGTATTCTCTGTAGGAAAAACAGGGCTCTCTGCGTCTCTTTTGCCAGCCCTCCCACACTCCCCTCATGAAACAACCTTTGCGGGCCATTAACGTGTGTGGGCCTTGTTTCTCAGTCTGAGATATATGTAGACATCTGTTCCCTATTACTTCATGAAAAGAAAGAATCAAAAATCATTAATACGGGGGGGGGGGGGGGGGGAGAGCACAATCTGGTAATGATATTTCCAGACGTACATTCTCCCTGAATCTAATGAAATGCATTACAAATGAGCTTTAAAATTGTATTAGTCTGGTTTAGAAAGGGAAAATAGTCAAGGTAAAGGTTTCCCCTTGACATTAAGTCTAGGCGTCTCTGGAGTGGTGCTCATCTCCATTTCTAAGTCCAAGAACCGGCATTGTCCATAGACACCTCCTAGGTCATATGGCCAGCATGACTACATGGAGTGCCGTTACCTTCCCACCAGGGTGTTACCTATTGATCTACTCACACTTGCATGTTACCTACTGATCTACTCACACTTGCAAACTGCTAGGTTGGCAGAAGCTGGGACTAACAGCGGGAGCTCACCCCATCCAGCAGATTCAAACCACCAACTTTCCAGTCAGCAAGTTCAGTAACACAGTGACTGAACCACAGCCCCAAAGGGAAAATAGTTGTACCTTAAAGGCTGACACATTTTATTTGTGGGCAATAAACTACTTAAACAAATGCAGATATGTTTTCTATATATCCAGGTAAATACGTTTATGCATATTGGAACTATATGGGTTGCCCACTGTATTGATAGGTCCTGCACTTGCGATTTCAACCTGTGTTCGGGTTCAAAATTGTTTTAATGTGTTTAAATTGCTAAATATGGTTTTAGATTTTGAATATGTGTATTTGTAACTGTTAGGAATGTATATTCTGAGTTTATCTGCCTGCAGATTTGAGATTCTGTGATATAAGACTAGATATAAATAATTTAAAATATGAAAAAAATATTGTAAATAGAAATCAAATGAATAACTTTGAAAGAAGAATTTGTGGGATCAAATGTTTATCCTTGGGAACAAGTGTACATTATGCATTTAAGGCGTGATTTCTCTATTATTTTACTTTGTGGCATTTCCAATATTACATATCTGTCCAAATTCTTTCATATATTCTACATTAACCTTTATTTCTATGTTTTTCTGGATTCTCCAGCTAAAGCTGTATTGTTTCATAGAGCATTGTACGCTTAATACAAAGGAGTCTCAAAGGAATATGGTGCATTTGATGAGTAGTTCAAGTTTATAGCCTTTTTTCCTGCAACAATGGGTCTTGCGCTGTAGATATTTTCGTTGCATTATTGTACTCTCTTTGAGCGTCCTGAGATGTTCACTTTCATTTTGGTAAAAGCCTAAGAGTGATAGTAATAATAATAATAATAATAATAATAATAATAATAAGGACTCATCTTGTTGTGTTTTTAATAATAACAATAATAATAATAATAATAATAATAATAAAAATTACTTGCCTCTCCCTGCATATATATATATATATATATATATTCCGAAAGCCATGTATTCTTGTCATTTATCTGAGTAAAGTATGATTCATGTGTCCTATTAACTGCTAGGAATGTCCTATTAATAAGATTAAATTACCGTATATACTCAAGTATAAGCCAACCCAAATATAAGCCGAGGAACCTAATTTTACCACAAAAAACTGGGAAAACTTATTGAGTATAAGACAAGGGTGGGAAATGCAGCAGCTACTAGTAAATTTCAAAATAAAAATAGATACCAGTAAAATTACATTAATTGAGTCATCAGGACGTTAAATGTTTTTGAATATTTACATAAAGCTGTAATTTAAGAAAAGACTGTCCAACTCTGATTACAACATTATTCTGACCTTCAGTGTAAATGTGCTTACGTATCATTCCAATAATAATTGAGTAAAATAATAAATGTAACAACAACAACAGTAATAGAGTACAATAATGGAAACGTAACAATAACTAATAATAGAGTAGAATAATAAATGTAACAATATGAGTAAAATAATAAATATAATAACAATAATAAATAGAGTAAAATAAGTGTAGTAATAATAAATAGAATAAAATAATAAATGTAATAATATTACTAATGGAATAAAATAATGTACATATAATAATAATAGAGTGAAATAATAAATGTAATAGAGTAAAATATTATATTGAAATAATGTAAATATAATAATAATGAATAGAAAAATAATAAATGTAGTAGTAGTAGTAGTAGTAGTAGTAATAATAATAATAATAATACAATAATAATAACAGAGTGAAACAGTAAATAACCTTGGTTCGAGTATAAGCCGAGAGGGCGTTTCAGCCTAAAAAAAGGCTGAAAAACTCAGTTTATATGCGAGTATATACAGTACTAAACGGAATGGCCAGACGATGTTATTGGATAATGTTTTTAACAAGATGACACCGATGATTATATGCTTTAACGATTTTTATTTATGTTTTATATTGTAACGTTGAATGTTTTTAATGGCACTTTTATGAATGCCGACATCGAATTGTGCCAATCTGTAACCCGCCTTGAGTCGTACCATGAGATGGCATGATTTCTTAGAAAAAGATGATAATAATGTATGGCAAAGTGGAAAATAGTCGAACAGAGGAAAGCTACATTACATGCAGATGGATAGGCTCCATCCTGAAAGCCACAGTTACTTGGAACCTACAAGATTTTAACAGTGCAGATGATGATGATGATGAGGATGATGATGATGATGACATTTATTTGTGTTATGGCGACAATTTTTATGCATATTTTGTTTTGTTAATCTTATGGTTATGTTGTTTTTACTTTGTTCTGTGATTTTTACCTGGGAACCGCTCTGAGTCCCCTCGGGGAGATAGAGCGGTATATAAATAAAGTATTATTATTATTATTATTATTATTATTATTATTTACTTGTTTACTTTATTTCTAACCTGCCTTTCTCCCAATGCGGACTCAAGGCGACTCTCAATTACATGACACAAGCAATAAATTTAAAAACAGCAAATTCAGACATGAAAAACAATTAAATATTGTGTCAAGGAAAGACACAGTTAAGCTATAGTAAAAATATTTGTACAGTTCTTATTAGCTTTGTTTACATCCCACCTTTCTCCCCATAAGGAGTCTGCTTGTTCCCACGAAGACGCATCCGTGTAACTCCTATTTCTGTGTCCCCTTTGTGTTTCCACAGTGCCCTTAAAGATAGTCGCTTCCCCCCAATGACGAGGGACGAGTTGCCACGGCTTTTCTGCTCAGTGTCTCTGCTTACTAATTTTGAAGATGTCTGTGATTACTTAGATTGGGAGGTAAGTAATCTCTGGCCCTTTCTTACAAAGGAGTTGCTGGCTTTGTTCAGCACCCGTTTTGCCATCTTCATTAAAATAGTTTTATTCTTCACGTCTTCAAAGGTCATCTTCAACAAGAGAGCATAGAAGTGTGCAGGGAAAGGGCTTTAAGCCCATTTGGTCAAAGTAAAGAACTCAGTGTAGCCAACCGATTAAATCTCCAACCCTGCAGAACACACACAAAAGAACTAATTTTGCTTGTCTTCTAGTCTGGACTCTTCTCCCTGCATTTCATGTTGTATAAAGCAGTGGTTCCCAACGTTTTTTTGACCAGGAACCACTTGTCTAGAAGCAACTTTCACCAGGGACCATTTTCTTAGTACCAAAAGGGTTACAAATCAGTTTTTGGTCAACTTTAGGTTCAGTTTGGTTATTTGGAGTGCTGATTCAGAAACTTGCATTGGATAGACCACATCAGCTCTAGTTTCTGATACAGAACATATGCCATCCAGTAGTAACCATCTGCTCGCCCACAGGAAACCACATTTAATGGTCTATCCAATGCAGTTTTCTGAATCAGTACCCCAGATAACCCTGGGAACAGGCCTAAAAATGAATATACCAAGGCGTCCCCACTTCCAGGCGCCACATGGAACTGGTGGTTCTCAACCTGGGGTCCCCAGATGTTTTTGGCCTACAACTCCCAGAAATCCTAGCCAGTTTACCAGCTGTTAGGATTTCTGGGAGTTGAAGGCCAAAAACATCTGGGGACCCCAGATTGAGAACCACTGGCTTAGAGGGAGGGAGGAAGAAGAGGAGAAGCAGCAGTCAGGAGGCTTGTTGTCACGCACCTTTCGTTGGTGTTCAACCTCTCCCCTCCCAACATCCCCATTGCCTCGGCACTATAAGAGGGTTTCGCAAGACCAGTCGCTCTCGTTGCAACAGTGTAGTTACGGTGGGGCCGCAAGCCATATTTTAGTTCTTGGGGACCACTGGTTAGGAAAAACTAGTATAAAGCGACCTTAAGTATAAATGTATAAGATGTATATGAAATATAAATGGATTTCGTGTTTAGGCTTGGATCCTATTTCCAACATACCTTATTTTGTTCCTATATGAAAAATCCAAAGCTTCTCTGGTCCCAAGTATTTCAGAGAAAGGAGGCTCAGCCTGTGTCTGAACTGTGCCGCTTCATATGGCAGCTGATAATAATAATAATAATAATAATAATAATAATAATAATAATAATATACTGACACAAAACACAGTATGTCACAGCAAACAAGATATATATGCTGGATTTTGTATCGCAAAATTATTTATTTATTTACGGCATTTATATGCCGCCCTTCTCACCCGAAGGGGACTCAGAGAGGCTTACAGGACATATTTTCATACAATATATTATATTACTAGCATAGTACAATATCAGTATTATATATTACTATATTGCACTATACCATTATATTGTAATATTATTAGTAATATTACATGTAATGTAAATATATAATTATAATATTGTATTATTATTACTAGTATTATATTGTATTACATTATAATATTATAAATATTATACCTATATGCAATATACTATATTATATTATTAGTAAAGACAAGATAGAACTGTCTTCTGTCACAAAGTCAAACACTTCCCAAGTGTCTAGGACTGTGATGTATTTTCGAATGATGCACGCAGATCCAAGGTAGCCTTTTGCAATTTATTATTATTATTATTATTATTATTATTATTATTATTATTATTATTATTATTAGAAACACAACAAGATGAGTCCACAGCAAACACTCTGTTGGTTGTTGTATTGGATCACATGTCGGACACTTTCCAAGTGTCTAGGACTATGTGATATATCGGCAAATAATGTGTGCAGATTCCAGTAAGGTGGGCTTCTGCAGCTGGCAGATGGTAATTCTGTCAGTGCTGATTGTGTTTAAGTGCAGGCCAAGGTCTTTAGGCACTGCACCCAATATGCCGATCACCACTGGGACCACCTTGACAGGCTTGTGCCAGAGTCTTTGCAGTTCGATCTTTAAATCCTCATATCGTGTCAGCTTTTATAATTATTATTTGGCATAATAATATTCCAAATAGAGTTGGAAATTCCTGATAGAGTTTTGGAGCACAATACTCCTGACTTCACGATCATGGAAAAAGACAAAATGTGGATCGTCAATGTTGCAATCGCAGGCGACAGCAGAATTGATGAGAAGCAACTGGAAAAACTGATACAATACGAGGATTAAAAGATCGAACTGCAAAGATTCTGGCACAAGCCAGTAAAGGTGGTCCCAGTGGTGATTGGCACACTGGGTGCAGTGCCTACAGACCTTGGCCTGCATTTAAAAACAATCGGCGCTGACAAAATGACCATCTGTCAGCTGCAAAAGGCCACTCTGTTTGGATCTCTACGCATTATTCGCCGATACATCACATAGTCCTAGACACTTGGGAAGTGTCTAACGTGTAATTGAACACACAAGTTAGCATAATGGTCTTGTTTGCTGTGTACTAATCTTGTTGTGTATCTAAGAATAATAATAAGCTTTATTTGTACCCTGTCACCATCTCCCAAAAGGAATTCAGAGCGGCTCATAGAAAGCACTCAATAGTGCAACAGCATATAAATACAGCAAAATGCAGAAAAATATAAATTAATAACAATAAAATTGACCCAATTATAAATTTAAAAAATACTGTGTATTATGATGCTATACTCCTTGCACCCTCCAAAAAGTACTTACATCAAAATATATTTAAAAGTATTCTAGCTGAGCTGTCTCTCTAATGCCCTGCATTTTGAATGCATCAAACGCATTTCATTCATTCATTCATGCCTCTTCACTGGCATACCGTCTTTGTGAGAGATATGTCTCCCTCGACTGCATGAAGCTGATGGGTTTATTTTTGTTCCTGGGTTATAAATGTCATTTCCTAATTGGTTCTATCATAAAAAATATGGAAAAAGTTTATTAAACTGCAAAAAAATTATTATAGTTTTTCAATGAATGTCTGTCTCAACCAACAAAGTTTTTGGTATATAATAATTACTTTCTAAGTAAGCATCCCACAATTAAACAGGAAATAACACCAAATCAGGAACAGATTTTTTTTTTTCAAATGTTGTGACGTAGTGTAATGTAATTCAGATAGCCGGAGCCTTCTTGCTATAAGTACTGGTTTCCTCTCTAGATGTCAGAAATTCAGATGGAGACTCAAGTTATGTGAATGTGTCTATAGCGGGAACAAGATCCCTATCCCTCCCTTCTAGAACTCTGCTGGCTGCTTCTGTTTTCCAAAAATAGAGATTTATTGTACTTGGTTTCATTACAGCTTTCAGTTATTAATACCTATACATATTGCAGGGTATGAATGGGCTGCTCCATGAGAACATAACCTCCTACCAACAAACAGCACTTTCCTCTGTGTTTTGCTGAAATCAAAATGAGGCAAAGACTTCAAGACCATTTTAAATAACTGTAATTAATAGCAGAATAGAATAACTGAAAAGATCTTTTATGTTATCTACCCTGTCATTTTGCGATAGTCTCTCTGCATATGATACAATGCAGCATGCTGCAAGGAGCATTATGTTCGCCGAATAGGCAGGTGAGGGGTCCAAATAGTCACAATATGGCTTCATACTTATCTGAACAAGTATTATATATTAATAGTTAAATAAAGACTGGCTTGTATTGTCGAAGGCTTTCATGGCCGGAATCACTGGGTTGTTGTAGGTTTTTTTGGGCTATGTGGCCATGGTCTAGAGGCATTCTCTCCTGACGTTTCGCCCTTTTTCCTAGTTCCAACAGACCTCACTACCTCTGAAGATGCTTGCCATAGATGCAGGCAAAACGTCAGGAGAGAATGCCTCTAGACCATGGCCATATAGCCCGAAAAAACCTACAACAGCCCAAAGACTGGCTTCCTGTTCATTAGTACAGTCAGCCCTCCAAATCCAGTGGTTCAATATCCATGGGTTCAACCATCCACAGCTTAAGAATATAACCTGTTGGGGAGTGGGCTTATTAACAAAAGACCCTCCTCATAAATGTACAGCAGAGTAACTTAGCAGCAGCAGTGTGGCCCAACACCTGTAGCCTAAAGTGATAAAAAGAACAAAAACACACAGACCAATGATAATCATGAGAATAGTCTGATTTAACACCATATATTTATCTTTCCCCTTTATTCTGTAAATGAGACCCTTCCATTTTGCTTCCCACGTCCTTCTGCTTTGACCTGTGGTATAGTAACTTTTCCTTTCGCTAATATAATCTTGGAGAAGGTAATCAGCTAGATATTTATACCAAGTTTTTATATCCCATTTGTTGTGGTCCTTCCAGCCCAGGGCCACTGAGACTTTGATTGCCTCTATCATGTGTTTTATTATTTCCTCACTTTCTTTATATTCCCCTTTACTTTCCAATTTCTGGATGAAAAATTGAGTCTTGTTCCATTCTATATTTATCCCTAATAGCTCCTCCATTTCCTTCCTGATTATTTCATGGAACTTTTGGATTTTTTCGCATTTTCACCACATGTGGGTACACTCGGCCTTCTCATAGACTAAGGCCTACCTCACAATGTGAAGTCTACCTCACACAGAGGCTTCTCTCACAGACTAAGGCCTACCTCACAATGTGAAGTCTACCTCACACAGAGGCTTCTCTCACAGACTAAGGCCTACCTCACAATGTGAAGTCTACCTTACACAGAGGCTTCTCTCACAGACTAAGACCTACCTCATGCTGTGAGGCCTTCTCACAGACTTTCTCCCACTAAAGCAAGCTAACATAGATGCCTACTATGCTATAGGCACACCTTATAAAGAATTGCAGCTCTTGCTGAGTCATTGCATCTATTTAACCCTTTCAGCGCTTGACTCTCATTTTTTGTAATTAAAAATACCTGGTTAATTTTTAATATTTCTGACATAACCTTGGTTTTGCCATTTTATAAGACATCGACAGAGATCTGTTGTCATGGTTATATCTGATGATGC